TGTTCAAGATCTGCGCTTCCTGCCCTTGCTCGTTTTCAATCCACAATTATCACTAATGCTGCTTTTACTGCAGGGGGAAGCCCACATCACATTTAGGTGCAGTATCTGCCTCTCCTTCCCTTCCCATAAGCAGGAAGTCCAGGCTCTCTACCTCAAGAAACACGTCATGGAGGTTGCCATGAGGCTGCAGTTGGATCCAGGCCAGGGAATTCCCCCACTACATCGGCCTGAGCACTCGAGGAGTGCACCTTCTACTGCAGATCTCCAGTCTGGATCCGCTGGTACCATTGCTACAGACCTCATGTGAAGGCCAAGCCGTGAGGCAAGGAAACATGCGCATAAGCATGATAGTAAGTCTTCTACAAGGCCCAAGAAAGACACTGCTTCCTCCCCGAGTTCTGGCCATGGAGAAGCGGCGTGGGCCTTGGAACACGCCAAGCACAAGAAGAAGTTGCATAGAACACTGGACCTGCCGGTCCAGGTCTCTAAGCCTCATACCCCCTCTTCATTGGTACCGCCAAAACAGTGGGATCGTCTGTGCTGAGACAGCCTTCTGTCCCCATTCAATCTCTGGTTCCATCTGGAATGCATGCCACTGACACCAGGGAGACTCATATTGGCTCCTGGACATCATGAACTTTTTGCCTTAGATGAGGTGAGATCCCTATGTCTTCCGGTGCATTCACCTCCAAAGAGACTCTGCTTACCTGCTCTGGACTTACCGCCTTCAGGTCATGTTCATGAGCACTGCCCTGAAACACTCTTGGTTCTGGTGGCTCTGCTATTTGAGCAAGGATCCGACTTCTTGGTATTGGAGGATTCAGATAGGGCACATGGTCTGCTGCTCCCGTACCAATGGTGAGAATATCCAAAGGCTCTGCTGGTCCAGTGGCAAATCCTCCCTTCTCTCAGCCCAGCTCCATGTGGACCACCATAGCAACTCAGTGTGCCAGACAGCAGCATCCACATTCCATTCTGACAGACAAGGAGGGTAAGAGACTGGACGTTCTGGGTTGTAAGATCTATTTGTCAGCCAGCTGTCAGTTCTGCATCTCTAATTACCTGGCATTACTGGCAAGGTATGACTTTTTTGAATTATGGCCAGTGAGCAGAATTTACAGACAAGCTTACTCAGCAGGACCATGCCCGTTTCCAGGCTATTTTAGAGGAAGGCAAACTGGTTGCCAAAATGATGCTCCAGGGTGCAGTAGATTTGGAGGTTGTGTCTTCGTGCACTATGGACATAGGAATTATTACGAGGAGGGAATTCTGGTTACATTCTTCTTGTTTTCCAAGGGAGGTACAGAACACAATTGAGGACCTCCCCTTCAGTGTATGTCTCTTCAATCAGAAGACTGATTCCCTACACTCACTCAAAGACTCTAGAGCAGGGGTCTCAAACTAATTTACCTTAGGGCCAGTGCCAGTCCTCAAATCCTCCCAGCGGGCCAATGTCACTCATGCTGCCAGAACCCACCCCCCAAAAACTCTGCCTCCCCAAAACTCCGCCCCCCACTTGCCTAAGGCTCTGGGACAGAGTTTGGGTGGGGGAGGTGGTCTGGGGTAGGGGATTGGGATGCAGGCTCTGGGAGGGAGTTTGGGTGGGGGAGGGGGTGTGTGGGAAAGGGGTGCAGGCTCTGGGAGGGAGTTTGGGGGCAGGAGTGGGTGTGTGGGAAAGGGGTGCAGGCTCTGGGAGGGAGTTTGGAGGCAGGAGGGGGTGTGTGGGGAGGGGGTAGGGGTGCAGGTTCTGGGAGGGGGTTGGGGATGTGGTGCTTACCTGGTACTCCAAGGCGGGGCGGGCTGGGCGGCCTCTGTGCGCTTCTGCCCCCCAGGCACCGCCCCCGCAGCGTCCCATTGGCCACAGGGGCGCTCTCAGGGTGGGGGTAGCACACGGAGGCACAGCCCTGCCCCTGGGCCGTACAGAGGGGCCAGCAGCCACTGGAGTGAGAAGGCAGATGCCGCTCAGCTCCGCTGTGCTGCTGGGGCCTCTGAGGGGGGAGCGCCCGGGGGTGGCAGGTGGGGCCAAGGGAGAGACCTGGCCCCAAAACTGCTGGAGCCTCACTGGCCACACTGGGGAGGCTCGCCGGCCACAGATGGCCCACAGGCCGGGAGTTTGAGACTCCTGCTCTAGAGCCACCTTGTGATCACTGGGCATTTATACACCAGCACCCAAGTGAAAATTTTATCGGACATCTCCTTTACAATGACACAGCTCCTCAGTTTTTCTGCCAGTGGTCCCTATGAGCCTCCCTACAAGCGTCAAAAGACTCCACAGCCCTGACCGCCTGGCCTGTCAGCACAGTCCTTGACATCACGCAATCAATTTTTACATAAGCAATATTTCAGAGTGCATCTAGAGAGCTGTCAACCATGTTGCAACCCACCATTCTTGCACCCCACTCCCTTCGGGAGTCATCTAGCCTGGAGTGTGATAACAATGGACAAGTGGGCCCTGGATGTCATTCGACATAGCATCATGAACTTAATCATATAGCCATCTCATCCACATCCCCTGTCCTGATTCTGCCTCTGGGACCGCTCTCATGACGCTGTCTTTGCCCTGGAGATTGACTTCCTCCTACAGAGAAGGGTGATAGAGCCTGTGCCCACGGACTTTCAAGGCACAGGGTTTGTCTCCACCTACCTCCTGGTACACAAGAAAAAAGGAGGATGGAGACCAATCCTAAATCTCCATGGTCTCAACCACTTCATACGCAAACAAAAGTTCTGTATGGTGATGCTTGCAGCCATCATACCCTCTCTAGAAAGAGGCATGTGGTTTACAGCTCTCGATATGCAAGACACTTACTTTCACATAGATATTCACCCAACCCACAAATGATTCCTGAGATTTACAGTGGGCCCTCAGTGCTTCCAATATAGGGTTCTACCATTTGGACTCTCCACTGCTCCATGGGTCTTCTCCAGAATGGTGGCCTGCCCCTGGCATTAAGAGGTCCTCATCTTTTCTTATCTTGACGACTGGCTGCTGGCAGCATGATCCAGATACGAGGCTCAAGCATTGACTTTTCTGCTGCTTTTACTCCTCTCTTCCCTGGGGATGAACATAAACCTCGAAAAATTGATGTTGGATCCCGCACAGTGCCTGGAGCTCATTGGGGCGTGCATTGACATGATCTCTGCATGTGCCTACCTACCACGGGACAGGTGCTTCTGTGACCTCCAGTCCTTTGGTTCTGGCTGGAACTTGCCTTTCCCTTCTTGACCACATGGTGGCGTGCACATACGTCACTGCCTTTGCTTGTCTTCGCTTCTGCGGTCTATAACTGTGGCTACAGAGAGCCCATTCTCTGATGTTCAACTCAATGGACACCCTACTGACTTCTTCCCCCCCCCCCCCCGATTCTTTCCTCTCTTTGGTGGTGAATAGACCCAGATCTGGTTTGCACCAGAATACCTTTCCTCCCATCCTCCCCAAGCATGACAATCATTACGAATGCATCGCTCAACAGATGGGGCACACACATGGATGAACACGACACAAGGCACTCAGACTGCTTGGGAATCCAGGATGCACATCAACATCCTAGAACTTTGGGCAGTATGGAGAGCATGTCGTGCATTTCTCCCGTCAGTCTGCTACTGCCATATTCTTGTCATGTCAGACAACACCACTAGAGTTTGCTATATAAGCAAACAAGGGGATGCAAAGTTGGCAGCACTTTGTGTGGAAGCTATTAGTCTTTGGAAATGGTGTATGGCCCATGATATCCTGAGGTCAGTGGCTTATCTCCTGGGGACTCCGAACATGATTGCAGATGCTCACAGCAGGAATTTCATGGCTGACCATGAATGGTAACTACAAGACACTGTGATCATCGACATTTTTCACCACTCGAGGACTCCAGTCAGGGATCTCTTTGCCTCCCACACCAACACCAGATCCATCCAGTACTGTTCCAGGGGCGGGCTCGGACTGGATCCTAAGGTGACACCCCTGTCATTGGCTGGTCGAACTGGATCAATTATGCCTTCCCTCCCCTACCACTCCTACCTCGCGTCCTTCACAAGATTCGGCGGAAAGTGTGACAGTCATTCTGATCACCCCATCCTGACCTCTCCATTTCTGGTTTCCCCCTTTTCTCACATGTCAAAGCATCTTCCTCTCCCGCTATCGAAGCATTCTTCTCTCCTGCTACTGGCGTTTCCAGAACAGCTCACACAACACAATGGCAGGATCAGACATCCCAGTCTTTGGACACTTCACCTGAGAGCCTGGTTTTTGGATGGGCATCTTCGCTAGCATGGGAATGCTTGTTGGCAGTGCAAGATGTCCTCTTGAGTAGCAGGAAGGAATCCATGAGGCAGTCCTACCAAGCCAAATGGAAACGCTTTGCCTTCTGTACTCAACAGAAAGGTCTTGCTCCTGAGGCTATAGGCATTCCTCTCCTCTTGGACTATCTCCTATCCCGGAAAGTGTCGAGGCTCGTTCTCCGCTCCATCAAGGTGTATGTAGTGGCCATTAGTGCTTTCCACCCCTCTGTGGAGGGGCACTCTATTTTCACTAACCCATTGATAAGAAGATTCTGGAAGGGCCTCATGTGGCTGTATCCTACCATTCAACCCATTGCTCCCCAGTGGGACCTCCGACTGTTCTCTCACATCATTGATGAACTTGCCATTTGAACATCTGGCCTCCTGCTCCCTTTCCCTTCTTTCCATGATGTTATCACTTTTCTGATAGCAGTTACTGCTGCAAGAAGGTTGGAGGAATTCTGCTGAAGGTCGTTTCCTGCTTTCATCTCAGCCAACCCATACACATACCTGCTTTCTTTCCAAATCTCACACCTCAGAGGCCTTCACACCTTCAGTCCCTCGATGCCCTGGCCTTTTACTTGCAGAGGATGAAGCCGTTCTTGAAGTCTCCTACACTGTTTGTCGCTATCTCAGAAAGGATTGAAGGGCAAGCCATCTCCACTCAGAGAATTTTGAAGTGGGTTTTGGGATGCATTACGCTCTTCTATCAGTTATTGGGACTGTCTCCACCCCTTGGGGTATGAGCCCATTCCACAAGAGCGCAAGCATCAACTATGGCCACACTTCACAACGTGCTGCTCAGTGACAGGTGAGAGTTTGGTACACACCTTCTCTTCCCATTATGCCCTGCTGCAAGACTCTGCGACAGATTTCTTGTTCCGTGCAGCTGTCCTCCGTTTCACAGCACCATCTTGCTTGCACTCTCCTCCTAACTAGGCATTGCTTGTCAGTCACTCTCAGTGTAATACAATAGAGTACATGACTCAAAGAAGAGGAGGAGGCTACTTACCTGTAACTGGAGGTTCTTTGAGATGTGGGTGGTCCTATCTGTATTCCAGTCGTGCCCTCTTTCCCCTCTGCTGTGGAGCTGATTGATTTATGGTGGAGAAGGAGCTGAGGGTGCGGTTGGTCCGCCCCGCCCTTTATCACCTCGGTTGAAACCATGAGCACTGATGCATGGGCCAACAGATACTACTACTTTTAAAAGCTCTGGGCGCATGGTACATGCTCATAATGCTCAGTGGCATGCAGATATGGAACACTCATCTCGAAGAACCTCCAGTTACAGGTAAATAACCCCACTTCCTCTTTGAATAGGTTACTCTTGTTTACAACTGAAGCAAAACTTCCATTTTAGATTGAAGGTAGAATTTTTTCTTTTACCCGTGAATAGTGGTTCTAGCAAAAGCGGAAGATTTGAAAACCATTGATCAGGGTGTTCTCAAGGTGCATTTATCCCCTTTCTATGAATCTTTTCTTGTCCTAATACTCTTTTGAAGTTGATAGGGCAATATACAGGCTTCAGTTATAATGCACCAAAATCGTATTATGCGGAGGTCAGCAAAACAGTGGAAAGGCATGGGGAGAGAATTTTTTGCTGTTTTGAAAAACCTGTATTAGTAATTGTAGGATGTTGCTTAGTATTAATGCCTTCTGCCTTGCTTTTCAATGAGGGAATCTTTGCACCAGCAGGCGATAAACTCCTGAGAGGAGAATGGAAGGTAAGAGTGGGGCCGGCTCAGCTGTTTTAGAGGAGCCCCCCACCATAATGCCCTATTGCAGGGAAGGAAGAGAGGTTACTTCTCCTCTCCCTAGCATCCTCTCTGTGTAGGCTGTGGGGAAGTAGAAGAGAACTGAAACACTCATCAGGGAGGCTGACAAACCGTAGCATAGCTTTCAGAAAAATAAAGTGGTAGATTTTTAGTTACATAGTAGCTGGAGAACTGTACCCTATATACTAAAATAATTTTAGGGCTGATCATAGTTTGAGTTAAGATATTTATTGCTTCTGTGTTTTACCACACCACTCAAGTAGCATTAACACAGTCAATGGTAGTGTCATGCAGTTAATATTTTATGTTGGTTAAAGATGCAATATGAGCAAGTAAAACAGCTTCCCTCCTGCCACCCATACAACCACATGATGATGTATGCTAAGCAAGTTCAAAGGCTCCAGTTTGAAGTAATGTGTAATTAAACAGTTCTTGACGTACACGCTTACATACAAAATTTAATCTACCCTGAGATTAACCATTATCTGTGTATGCAAGTGTAATGCATTTCCCAAGCTAGTTGTTTCCAAAGCCTTATGAAAAGCAAAATACCTTGTGTTTTGAGTCACTGATTTTTAATTTGAGTTTGTTCTGTTTGAAACTGTCCTACATTTTCAGAGTTGTTTATTTAAATCCTCTTATGAGTCTAGAAAACTTTTATGGCAGAGTATTTCAAAGATGGCATAACACAAACCATCTGCAACAATCATTTGTTTATTGGTGTGTTTAAATCAAGTGGACACCTTTTAGAATCAGCTTTTTTATTTTTACTGTGAAATAGAATAAATACATGATTATCTTAACATGCAAATCTAAATCTTTCCAATATATTTTTTTTATTTCTAGTGCCAAAAAAATCTGAATCTGCTGATGTGGAAGAATCCAAAATTGGAAATGAGGAGAGTGACTTAGAAGAGTCATGTGTTGTACCCCATAGTCCTGTGTCTGTAGATAAAAGGCCCATGCCAGTCAAATCACCTAAGGTAAAGTATCCAGCTGTTGAATTTCTCTTCTGAATAAAAGAGACCAATAGGAAAAAAAACCCTAAGACAGTGAATAGCACGATCTCACAATCCAGTAATTCTGGCAGACACATTTGGAATAATTAATTGTCAGCTTAATATCAAGTACAGAAGAGCTACTTCATGTTTTAATTACATTTGTAGTATAGTTTTAAAACAAGCTTTTATGCCAGTGGTCCCCAACCATTTTCGTCTGGTGGGCACCAGACGACGAGCAACGGAGGACAGTGGCGGCGGACGAGCATCCGCCAAAATGCCGCCGACAAGTGGCAATGTCAATAGGCATCGCTGCCGAAATGCCGCCAATTTACGGTGGCATTTCGGTGGCGACGCCTATTGACGTTGCCGCTTGTCAGCGGCATTTTGACGGATGCTCGTCCACCGGCCAGTACGCAGGTGCACTTAGGCACCGCGTTGGGGACCCCTATTGTATGCCATGAGCTCTGAATCGCCAAAGACAAGCTTCCTTCATCTTGTTATTTAAAAGAACATTTAACCCCTTGACTTCACTTCAAAATAAATCAATCTAGTTGCTTTGTCCCTTTGAGTGCCAAGGTTTTTGAAATGATGCCTAATATATCTGATCATGGTATTTATTACACCAATATATGAACCTTTTCCTTAGTTTGAAGTCTGATTTTTAAAATATTTTTTTAATTTGGATATTGGAGCATATACAATACTCTCAGCTTGTTTTCTTATTGAATTAATTTGCTTAATTAAATACTTTTTCCCAATTAACAGGATAAATGGCAACCACTTTTGAGTACAGTTACAGGTGTTCATAAATATAAATGGCTGAAGCAAAATGTCCAAGGCTTGTATCCCCAGTCTGCTCTCCTCAACACCATTGTTGAATTTGCACTGAAAGAAGAGCCAGTGGATGTAGAAAAGATGAGAAAATGTTTATTGAAGCAGGTAAAATGAGTGAAAATGGGTTAAGTAATTGGGTTGAGTGGGTTAAGTAATTACACAAAAGTTTATTGATTTGTTGATTGATTTTATTGATTGCAGTTAGAAAGAGCAGAAGTTCGTCTGGAGGGGATAGATACAATTCTGAAACTGGCAACTAAAAGCTTCTTACTCCCATCTGTGCAATATGCTATGTTCTGTGGATGGCAGAGGCTTATTCCAGAGGGGATCAATATAGGGTAAACAGGCTTTTTCACTTTTAATATGTTTCTGACTTGGGACAGGGGAGAGACTGTAAAATAATCTTTTTTTCTCTTTTCTCCCGCCCCCCCTTAAATAAAGGGAACCGCTCACAGACTGTTTGAAGGATGTTGATCTGATCCCACCATTTAATAGAATGCTGCTGGAAGTAACTTTTGGAAAGTTGTATGCGTGGGCTATTCAAAATGTCCGGAACATCTTGTTGGATGCTAATGTCAGATTTAAAGAACTAGGTGAGCTTTAATCTTAGCCTTAGTCTTCTGTTGTTGAATCAAAAACTCTAGTTTGAATATAATTGATTTCATGTACTAGCTGAACAGCACATTTTAATGTCTTACTCTTTCTTCATGCTGCTGAGTATTTTTATAGAAATGTGTCCTTTTTCTTTCTCTCTCTCCCCTCCCCCCCGCCCCCAATTAAGCTGAGTTTCCAATATTTAGGAGAATATTCTTGGTTTCCTGATAGGTTACAGCACTTAAATAACCAGTCACTACTCTATAGATCTTGGAACTTCCATTTTGGGGGTTCCTAAAGCCAAGGGTAAAGTATAATTATTTTAAACTGTTTAAATTTATAATCTATTTAATTGTAGCTCTTATGCATTAATTTGCTCTGCATTATTTATATTTACTTAAAGGTATACTAATTCTGAACTAGGTATCCAACCTGTTCCTCTGCAAACCATTACTAATGAGAATGCTGCCGGACCAAGTCTTGGGACCATTCCACAAGCACGTTTTCTGTTGGTCATGCTCAACATGCTGACCTTACAGCATGGTGCCAACACCTTGAACCTCCTTCTCAACTCTGGCATGCTAGCGTTGACGCAAACCACGCTGCGGCTAATAGGTATGAAATCTTCCAGCTTTTTGTTTGTAAGAATGTATATATTTTGAACAATGAATTATTTCACAGGTTTTAACTTCTACTGCATTGTAAGTAGGACACTTCACTTGTTAAGAACTGGTGATCTGAGCCACTTGGCTATACTACTGCCCAGTCTGTAAAAACATGTGCCAGTGAAGTAGAACGGGAAGTGGAAAGCTTAGGTTGACATATGCGCCTTATCTCAGCTGTGACTTGATGAGCATTATGAGTAATCTATCGTTGACAGTTCTCGTTACAGTCTCTGTGAGCTATATGAACACAGGTGTTTTAATAACTCCCACTATATTGTTTCATTCAGTTTGTTGCTGTAGGAGCTTCCCCTCTATGCACAGAGATTGGAGGTAGTTTTAGCATTTTGGCTGAAAGTTTCATTCACTTGATTCTTCATAAGAACTTGTGCAGAATTAGATATATAATAGTTGAAACTATTCTGCTTTTGGTCCCC